TTGCAGCTTTCAATTTCACTAGCCAATCGTTTGAGTGAAGAGTGTAGTGGTACACGAGCCTCGTTTCGTATCGCTCACTAGGGATGTAGGTCATTCTTGAGTAAGCCACGATAAGACAAGTTTGAATTACATTTCGCACTTGTGTATTTTTTTGTATGTGATATTCTGACACTCTGTTTGATCCATATTCTTAAAAAAACTCATTTTTTCAAAACACATTTTTAATAAAATAATATTACACGCAAATTCAAAACATTTCTTTATTATTTAACCACATACATTAATTTCTATTTAAAATGCATTTTTCACTCAATAACGTGCATCAAACATTGTCTAAATTTGAGACTGACAATGTTGACTATTATTCTATATATCCATCACCATTGTGTCATGAAAGATAAAAATATATAATATATTAAATATCACATCAAGTGAGAATCATTCTTTGGACGATTTTAACTCTATGACAATTCAATTATTTTAATAAGAAAAATATTATTCATCCCCAGTGGGGATGCAAATGATTGGTTAAATGATTGGTGAAATTAAATGACTTATTTAATTTCACATATCATTTAATACCACATTAATGCCACATAGATTGGGGATGTATCCCCACTGGGGATTAATAGTATTTTTCTTTTAATAATATCTTATTTTTCGCTTTTCAACATGTAATAAATATTACAAAATTCAATTATTTCAATAATACCTTATTTTTCGTTTTTTAATATGTAATAAATATTACAAAATTCTTGTCATGCATAAATTTCGTGTTATTAATTCTGAATTAATTAACATTCACATCAATCTGAATCTTGACTTGATGAATTTAATTCTATTCATGTATCTAGAAATTTTAATGTGTATTTAAATTCATGTATTAACAATTAATTCTTATGTACCAAATGTAAGGAAATGCCAAATTGGTGTCATGGTTTTCCTTTTTATATTCAATTTAATTGAGTTTGGGGATGCAATTGATTGACAATTATTATTTGAGAACCCTTTTTCTACCTACTTATTTTTAATCAAATATTCACACAATAAAATATTTTGTCCGTAAATTCAAAATTTATCTTTGCTTCTGAATTATACATTCTCCTAAAAATCACTATTCAAACTTTTATTTTTCCCCAAATAATGATTATCAGCTGGGGGGCTTAATGGAGGGATTATTATTAATTTTAGCTAAATTCTTATTTATTATATTTTTTAATTATGTCTTATGATGGATTGTGTACATGACACTCTATAATGCCCCTGTTTGATCCCATTTTTCAAGGGGAAAAAAATATTTTTTTTCCTTCAAATTCATTGTTCACCACATCTATGGACCGGCAACTTTTATCAAATATTCAATTACACATTTTGCCCTCTGTCTAATTTAATTAAAAATGAGATTTTTAGTAGAATTTGATAAAAATATGTGGTTGAAAAATTTATAAAAGTTGTGGATCCCATAAAATGTATAGTTCAAAATGAATTTGAGGAAAAATGAGCTCTGAAAAAACATGAGCTTCATCAAGTTATTAAAATCTACTTGAACTCTCATGCTTAGTCAAGCCAAACAAAATAGGGACATTAAGCCCCTGTTTGTCTGCCATTTTTCAAAACATTGTTTTCTACGGTAATCAATTTCCACTACACATTCAAATAATAAAATATTCTACACATAAACCAATAAAGTTTCTTTCGATTTTAACCTCACATTCTCCAGAAAATATTATTCAAAACATCATTCTTTCTCCCATAATGGGAGATAAACAAGCTCTAAAGAAGACATTATTCTTTTTAGGTAAATGTCATTTATACACTCTAAAGTCCAAAGTGTACATCGCGTTTCACATTTGCTTTGTTGTAAAAAATGATTGAAGGAAAAATTGAGCTGTAAAATGATAATTTGCCATGTGACAAACGGTCAAATTTGATATATACAGAGGAGGGTTGTTCACTTGTTCTCTTTATACTTGTAATTAGTCAACATTCTCGGTCTTTATTGGCTCCTCATATTGTCTCAATTCATTAGGTGCATATACATGCAAGGAATATCTCAAATTTTCATAAAAAATAATAAAAAAAAAATCAACATATAAAAATTTGAATTATTCCTCTTAGCAAAATTGACATTTTAATATGATATCTCAAGTTTTAATACAGTACTAAAAGCTCATTAAATTCAAACGAAAATTTCAATCCGATTAAATTTCAAATAAAGTACAAGAATTTCAAAATAATTTTTCTTAAACGAGCCACTATATTGAGGACGTGACAATGTAAAATATAAACCAACATATAAAGTTCGACTATCGTAATATTTCAAGACGACATTATTTTTGCTTCCAAACTAATATTATAATCAAATTTATCGATCGATTCTACTATCATAAGAGAATTAAGTTAGTTGTACAATTAGTTTGACATCATTTAAAACATCAAAATTGAGGTCATTGATTTAAATAAATATTGTTAAAATTAATGATAAAATTGAGTGTCGTGTTTAAAAAAATGTAAATAAATCTGTCAATCATGGCGTAAATACAGCAAATCTGATCATATGACTCATTAGATTGGAAACGTTGTCTGCGTTCAAACTTACAAAAAATATCTAATGGACGTGAAATCTAAGTTATTTTGCTTTCGCGTGTAATTAAATAGACTTAAAATAAAGTCTTTTTGTTTTATAACACGTTATTTTGTTTAATTTTTTTTATAAAAAAAGACAGCGAATTTTTAATTTTTTTTTAAAAGTATTTATAAGAAATCATATTCTTTTAAAATAAATTATTTCTTTTTGAATTTCGTATATCAATATTAGAGTCCCCAACTCATACGGTAGTTTCATTTTTGTCATTAAAGTTCTTTTTCGTTTCAATTTAGTTACCAAAATTCTATTTTTGTTTCATTATGGGCACTCCAATCAGGTCGTATTTCATTTTTTAAATTAAATACATAAAAGAAAGAAATAATGTTTTTTTTTCCCGAAAATACGTCTTTTTTATTTTCTTTGAAGAAGTAGTACTTTATTTAACAATTGAATTATTGGAATTATTGATTTATTAGTCAATGATCCATCTTTCAATAATACGAGGATGCTTTCTTGAAGCACGAGTTAACGAAGCACGGAAATCATATTGAAGTTCGGATCTAAATCTTAGGCATTCATTAAAGTTCATATTTGGTTTAGCCAAAAAAATTGATAAATAACCTCCAGGTGTATAGCTAAATGGTGCAACGGACATGAGTGATGTAGTGTCAGCTGAGTTGAAAGCCGCAATGTGAGGGTTCGATTCCTATCTCTTACAACATATGAAATTAGATTCTTTGTGGACATCGGTGTAACAGCTCTTAAACCTTGACCTGTTGAAGCACATCCCATTATTTACTTTTTCCATGATGCTCAAGGGGCGAGGCGATTGGGATCCTAAAGATTGGGGTTCAACCTTTTTAAAAAGTTGATAAATATCGAAATCAAATTAAAGTTAATAACTAATTTTCACTACATTTTTTATTGTAATATACAATATTTATCAACTTTTTAACATTATATTTCATCAATTTTTATTAAAATCTATTAAAAAATTAATTTCCACCTACACCCAAACGTGGGCTGAGTTGGGTCGATAAGGATGTTTTTCTTAACCTATTTATTAAATAATGGAGTAGTTACATGGTTACTTCCTTTGGGACCAAAACAGGTCGAATTCTGTGAATCCCAGTCAACTTCATGACCTCATTGCTTTCATCTTTGCTTGCTGCTTCCACGAAACACACAGCCACGCTCAATGCTTCCAGAACACCCTACCCCCTCTCATCCCACCCCCCACCAACTGACAAAATTTTCATCGAAAAATTTAATGGTTGATACCCAATTTTGAAAAGTCTCGATTGAGTCTCGAAATTTAATAATTATTTTACAAAAATGTCTAATTCCATGCTCGTCAATTAAAAAATATCTTATTTTGATAACCCTCGTAAAAATAGCCAAACTGAGTACTAAATTATATATTATACCCTTATGGTGTGTTTGATCCATATTATTTTAGAAGAATGTATTCTGAAATAGTAAATTGATGAAAAATTTGTGATTGAAAAAGAAGAAAAAGTTATTGATGTGATAGAAAATATTATTTTATTGAAAGATGTGTGGTTGAAAATGAGTATAAAAATAAGAATGAAAATTTTAATGTGTACCAAACAGGGGCTTCATAAAAAATGAAGCATTTTTTTTCAATTTGTCACGAATTTCGAAAAGAAAAATTAGCTTCAATGATAAGTTATATTAAAATGACGTTCTTGACATTTTAAAAGTTGTTATCGATATTTGAATCATGTTTGTCTCGATATTTCATTTGTCTAAAACGAGATTTCATTCCAGCATGAGAGTTCTTTATATTTCATAAAGTTCTTTACATTTGAAATGTAATTCTCGATATTTAATACATGTGTCAATGAGAAATACAGTATTTATTGTGATTTGACATGTGTACCTTTGAAATAAGTAGAGAGCGTTATATGTCAAAATTTTATTGGCCGACACATTTTTGTCTTTAGTGTGGAATTATAAATTGTTAACAATGACATTTCGGTCAAAAATATTGCAAAATGGACATTGAATAAATTTTGGACATTTTCACACATGACAATGTGAGAGTGGACATTTCTTATAATTTCCATTTATTTTAATTCAGGCCACTTTGTTACTGAGCGTTAATGCTCGTAACGTCGGCTGACAAAGTATCCTCAATTGAAATAACGATAAAGTTTAGTGACTGGATTGATACTTCCCACAAAGTTAGGCAACCACTGAAACTTATACCTTAGAAAAGTCTCTACTTTTGACCAAAGAATTTGTAATCCAATTCACTCCATAAATACTACAATTCATCCACATTCTTTCCTTCTTACCTAATACTTTGAAATAGAGAGAACTTAGCCAAAAGTTCTCTAATTTCCACCCATTTTCTCTATCCCATTCCCACATGGCTATTAGTGAAACCATGTCAAATTCTACTGATTGGATGCAGTTCTACCAACATAACTTATCCGGGCAACCTCAAAACACCCCAAGTTTTAACGGAAGTGTGTCTGAGAGTGTAATGGTGGCCAACGCCACTGCCGGTGGTGCCACGGCGCCTGCGCAAAGCAATTTGAGTCCAAGTTACTATAACTTGGACATGGAGGGTGGTCGTGCTTCAAGACCTCTCAGAAGGCGATCAAGAGCCTCGAGGCGAACCCCGATTACGCTGCTTAACACTGATACTAGCAATTTTAGAGCCATGGTGCAGCAGTTCACAGGGGGTCCGAGTTCTTCATTTGCATCTAGGCCTGAGTATACCAATGGTACGAGTTTTTCGTTTAAAAGTTTAAACTGTTATCGAGACTGCATAAACCTGATTTCATGTAGGTCAGGTCAGATTTGAACTCAGAACTTTTTACTTGCTCGAGACTATCGAGACATTTAAAACGCAACCTTTTCGACTTGCATAATATTCATGAATGAATTACGATGAGACATGGATTCAAAATCTTGTTTACTTGTGATGCTCGTTAAACGACCTCATCTAGAGACTTAAGCCGAGTCTTTACTTAATTAAATGTAATTTTTGCAGGAATAAACTTTGGTTTTGGACATGGAACTCAACAAATTATGAACCCATCTGCAGCCATGCCTCCTCGTGGATTTCAAGTGCAATTCCAAAGACAACAGCAACAGTATCCAAATCATCAACAACACAGTTTCAATTCACTGAACAATAACATTCAGGGTGATGCTGCTGCTTTTCTGCACAAATTCAGGCCTAACATGGAGGTGGAGGCCTCTAGTGGCTTGGTCAAAAATGGTGGCTCAGCCCACTTGCCACCGTCCGAGGGCGGCGCGCGCCGTGGTGGCTTCCACCAATGAGAAAAGGGGTATGAACAGCTAAAAGGAGTTTGAAAATGACATAAAGGAAAAGTGTTCCATTTGTTGCTGACTTTTGCTCTTAGTCTCTTAGTTTCTTCATTTGTCATGTATCCGTTCACATTTGTATAGTGGTTTCATTGGCAATTTATTTGCATCTTCCTATCATCACTAGTGCTAATTTTCGGTCCTTGGTGCTCAACTTTCCATCGTAAAGAGAAGTGTGTAAAATCAAGGTCGATTTGGTTATTTTTATATTTGCACTTCAAGGTTAATTTAGTTCAATTAAATCCTTTGCAAGATTATGTTTTTTTTTTCTTTGTAGGCTTTTATTTGAATTCTCATCATTACTTCTATTGTTTGTTATTGAATAAAAATAAAGATTCGAGTTTTTTCAAGATTCTTTCTAGTGGCATGTTCGATCGTGCTTAAAATTCAATTAAAATTGAAAATATAACTGTTATTGAGTTCCACTCGTTGAATAAAAGTCAACAATAACGACTATTTTTTCAATTTTAATCCATGCCGAACACATCTTATAATATTGATATTTAAATTTTGAATTGAATTGATTTTCGACGTCGATTTTTTTATTTAAATCTTATATAAATACGTCAAACTAAAAACATTTATTTGCTCAATGGCGTTATAAATTTATAATGGACAAAACAACCGTACAAATAGAAAAGCAAGTAAATGACATAAAAGGTGTGTCTCCCACTATTGTAGAAGAAATAGAATAATGAATAGTATTTTTTGGAAAATATGTGATTGAAATTTAAAGTAACTTTATTAATTTGTGTGTAGAATATTTTATTGAGTGAATGTGCGATAGAGAATCTTACTGTAGTAAACAACGTTTTGGAATAATGATAGACAAATGGGGCCAAAGTAAACTTAAAAAATAACAAACATGGATCATATCTTAATTTACAACCAAAATTTAGCCCTATTTGATTTAGATAAAAATCAGTTTTTTTATTGAATTTTAATAAAGAAGAAACGTGGTTGAAAAGTTAATAAAAATTATACATTCCATAAAATGTGCGATTATATATGAATTTGGCACTTTTGAAAAGGCAAAAGGAACCACAAAAATGATTTGATCAAAATGCTATAATACATAAAGTGCTAGTACCCAACAATGAGCAAGAAGCAAACTAATCAAATAATAAATCAATCAATCAAGCAATCTGGTTTATGAGAGCTTTCATGGCTCTTATCTAAACTCCATAGTATTGGACAGTGTTATAATAATAAACAAAAAAAAAAAACTAAAATATCGTCAATTTTGCATTCCAAACTTATTTATTCCAGCAACCCAATGGACAGTTAATAAAACAAAGTAACAACGCGATTCATCACAACAAAAAGAAGATAAAAAAGCTTGTCCATTAACAACAATCCAACTTAAAACTCGACGATATAAAAAGCCTACTCGCTTAACTAATTCCAGTATATGAGAACTGCTATGATCTTCTCACTGTTTTCAGCCCTATTCAGCATGTATAAGGACACAAAATTTCAAGTACTGAGTCAATAGATCCAGAAATCTACTGCTTTCGAAGTTCTTTTGGAAGGGTTTTTCAAGAAATGTCTAGCTGCCAATTGAGGTATCATTTTCTAGATCTACAACCTGGTAGGTTTTAAAATGCAAAACTCCATCAATCGGAAATAGGCAGTCATATAATTCACCATCCTCATATGTGCCTACCAGTACCATTCAACTGAGTTGATCTCACATTAGGCTCATCCTGGAATTAGAGAGAAAGCATAAATAATAAGCTCCCGGCAAGTTCATAAAGACATTTTTATATAACAACATTGTTAACTGTGACCAAACTGACCTGCAGACCGTAGCTGAAACTTGGCGGCCTAAAATCCAGATGCCCCTAAACAGTTGGAGGAATAGAAAAAGGAAATTCCATATTCTAAATCATCATATACCCAAATAAGCTTCTATACAAGAAATTGTAAAATTGGGTTAAATACACTGGAGGTCACTAAACTTCTAGCAAAATTTCAAGTTGATAACAACTTATGTTACAATTTGGTCATTTCACCTATGTCATTAGTTGAATAACGGAAAAGCTATCGTGATAGTCTAGTTGGCAGATGCCACCTTTATTGACATGGTCGGAGTAACCAACTTGAACAACCATCATGAAATTTCGCCAACAGTTCGGTGACCCCCGATGTATGGAAAATTATGTAGTGGGCTACAATACCAGTCCGGTTGTGCTCTGTTGAGACCCAAAAAAACCATCATGGCTAGACGCAATTGAGTTTAACTGTCCCTACAACCAAATTCCAGACCTTACATTGTCACCCAACTATCTGTCTATACATTTGAAAGCCAAGGCTCAAGAGAAAGTAAAGAGGCAATGTATATGTGTGCGTCTGTGGCATTAGGACATACATACCAGCCCCTGCATATTCTGTTGACTTACATAGTATGCATCATGGGGTGGCTCCATCAGATTTAACTGGATCACCGCACAAAAATTATCACAATTTTGTTTACAAAATAATATATACAGCAAGTATAATCTTCAAAACTTAAACCATTCATTACATGTGTGGGTTTAAGCAAAAACATACCAGCCCGTGCATGCTCTGCTGGGACCCATAGTAGCCATTTACGGTAATTCCATCGGAGCTTAGATTCTCCTATGAGCAAGAAAATATAAAAATTAAGAAATTCATCTATAAAGTTATATATATAAATATACGTATACAATTCAAACATCTGTATGTTTGCATATGTATGCTTATTCCTTCTAATTTTTCTTTAGTATATTTTAAATTCCAATCAGCATCACTGTTTTGGACAGAATGGAAGATGTTCAAGTTATAAGAAAAGCCTAACTCATTATACATCATACGCAATGTTTCACAAGGACTATGACTAGGTCACAGTATAACTTACCATCTGTAACAAGCTTCCTTGAGCCTCAACAACTACAGCTCCTGTCTCTGGTTGTAACTGGGATTAACAAAGTTTCCTTGTGAGGCAAATGGTATAACAAAATGAGCGAATACATTGATAATGACAAATAATCCACAACCAACCTTTCTTTTCTTGTTTGTACTCTTCTTCTTATTTGTTTTGGTAGCATGGACCATCTGATTCTCTTCTTCAGCACAACAAAGAGCAATAGCATTGCTACTATAATCAGCAGCACTTCTGTTAACATTCACACAGTTCTTCAGAGCTTCAACTAATGCACGATGAGCTATATTGTATCTCTTCTCAGATATTGAACCTTCTTCACTCAATTTAATGGCACGCTTGCATAGATCATTGTACTTTTGTACCCTAGTTTGTGTTCTTTTGGTTCCCTCTATCAATGATTGACCGTTTTTCGCATCTTTCGTCCACCTCTTCAATATATATGGAGACGGAATGCTTGAAAGACCACACATTTGAAGGACAATCATTGAATGTCTACAAAGAAAACCTTTATATTCAAACAGAAGGCAAGAACAAGAAACCTCTGATTTTGCCTCATTCCATGTAACCATAAAATTCTCTGATTTTTCGCAATCATCAACTCTGAAAGTAATATTAGTTCCATTTTCACTTTCCTTCTTAGGATGGCACCCTACCACCCCCAAAACCTCAACTTGAAATTTCTTGAATATTGTGTGTGTATAAATAGTCGACATCTGCTTTTCCCAAGGGGAAGGTGACTTTAGCGCTGGCTGTTTGTGCCACGTATCAAAGTCTGCTAAGTCTTCCTCTTCAAACCTATTACTGAGTATCATCCCATACTGTTTCACAAACTCCTTAAGACTTATTTTCTTGTGAATATATTTATCAAAGAAAGAGTTGACACTTTCATGTCGCAGAGTTGTAGACAATCCAGCCAAAAAAGTACTTCTCATAAAGGTGGGAACCCACTTTTTGCGGTCTACATACAATGAATGAATCCATTCATTGTCTTGTAGTTCAAATCTGCCCACCATCTTCCACCACCTCATATCAAACGCGTCATCCGTCAACGACTTGAATACACATTTATTGAATTTTTTCATAAAATTCTCATGCTGTTTGATTACGTGAGCAAGAGTTTCAGGGATCCTTTCCAGTATATGCCAAAGAGCAAAGCAATGACGCGAATAAGGGAGAACTTCTTCAATAGCTGATTTCAGCGCTTTGTCTTGATCAGTGATTATGACTTTAGGAGCTTGCTCACCCATTGCTCTGAGCCAAGTCTTCATTAACCAGACAAATGTTGGTCTAGTTTCATCAGCTAACAATGCACAACCAAGCAACATGGGCTGAAAATGATGGTTCACCCCAACAAATGGAGCAAATGACATCTTCTCATTGCTTTTAATATAACTGGTATCTAATAAAACAACATCACTGAAGCTGATATAGTCTTTCCTGTTTCTGGCGTCGACCCAAAATAAGTTCCTCAGAACCTGATTTTCATTCAGATCAACTGCATAAAAGAAGTGAGGATCCAGTTTTTGGATTCGCATAAAATAATCAAGCATTACTTGTGCATCCCCCTCTTCTAATGCCAAGTACCGACCTCTATCAAATTGATGATCAAATTCATTCTTTATGAGGCCTAGATTTTGAAGTCCACCAGATTGTTTAGACATCTCAACATACATCTTTCTTGTCCGTTCACTAACTACATGCAAAATGTCGACATTATTCTTTTCAGATAATTTAACATTCTTATGAATTCGGTAATGATACGCTAAGGCAGGTAATAGCTCGTGATTGTGCTCCTTTATAAATTCATGAATATACCATTTTCCATCTCGTTTTCTCTTCACGTGCATGCTGGCTTTACAATCTGTCTTTTTCACACTTGGACGTCTACTGCTGCTGCCGCTATCAGATTCTGGTGCGACTCCATATCTTGAACATGCAAATTTAGCGTCAATGAATTCTTTGGTTTTCTTTGAGCGACGACTGTTTTTTATCGAGGTGGTGAACCCCATCGACTTAGCATACTCTTGATAAAATGAACATGCCGCCT